AGAGACCAAGATCGAGATCTCAGTCGGGCCATAATTATCAGTTTGCCTCTACCACATTCAAATTCGTGAAATATACACAATGTCACATGGTGGGGTTTTATCATAAAATACTTGTGAATTTTTTTCTCTAGTTAAATCTATTCCTACACTCTACAGATATCTTTAAATTGCCGCCAAATTATAGAAACAAATGACACATGAATTCATTACACATCTTTGAAATAGTTTCCCAGAGATCCTAATTTGGAATTCAAATTAATTTTTCATTACCTCCTTTACTTACTGACCTATTAAAACTTTCAGAATGACCTCATAAACATAAACTACATAGCTTTCTGCTAGAGGTTTGCCCGCGTAGTCGCTAGGGAACTGTATATTTATATATCGATTCATATCATAACATGGATATAATAAGTGACAAATTTAATAGTAAACAATGGTTACTTAATGGGTATGTTTAATTCCCTATACAAACTTACACTTCTCGGAAAAAAATATAGGCAATGTTCACCGCGTATGATATAGCTCCCAGTAGATGAAAGGATTTTTAAAATCCTATTCGTTGCAAACAAACAAACAATCCATTCTTTTCGTTATGATATCGGTATACATTATTTGTATGTTTTCATGAACTCTGTTTTGGCTATTTCTTGAAGCGGGCTGACTTGTTTAGATTCCGAAGATGTCACTCGCTGAAAGCTAATTTGTATGAAACGCCTGCTCGCCTCAGCGAGACTGGCAGACTAGCACAATAAACAAAACAAGTTTTTAATTATCTCCTTGAGACAGGTTATTTATCTTTTACCCCTCTTTGTGAAGTATTTTTGCAAAACTACACCGTTTAAGGAAAACAAGTTGTAATTAAATAGCTGAATAGCTTTACATTTGTTTAACTTTTAAAAGCTGTGAAATAGCAAATAACATGCCACTTACTACCAAGAGAGCTAATTGATTTTCAACGATCATTTCCATGAAGTCTCGTTGCTGCTTTCCTAATATATTATAATTTTGATATACTACTAACTGAACCATAGTTTCATCACCAAAAGCCGGGACAACATCTTCAACATGTCCGCATAAGAATATGCGTTTTGCAAACAAAATTTGATGCAAGTGCTTCGTTCAACAAAATCGCCTATTGTAAAAATTTTATAATTCAGTTTTGGTTGTTTACGAAAACATGTATAATAATTAAATCTTTTGACACACAGCCGCTTGACAAATTTTATAAGCGGTCCTACCAACCTACGAGTAAGAAAAGATTTTTTTAGTTATGGCCTTGTTCCGTTATACAAGAAAAGAATTTATATTTTTCCTGCTTTCTATTAGGAAATTGTCAAATATGTCAAACTTCCTGGTATTCAACCTGGGAGTTTTCGGAATCATCGCCATCTTTCATTAATTTCATTTTCATTTTACATGTAGAAATGAATTTATTCACTTGACATTGGCAAAATTGTGCGAAATTCGCAAATAAGCCATTAATAAAAGAAGAAGAAGAAGTTTTAAATGACAATTTCACATTATTTTTTGATCACAATGATATAGCGCCATCTATTTTGATTATTACACAACCCCTTTATGACCGCTCTAACCCTGCGACGATATTTAGAAAATGTAGCTTATTTATATTTGCTTTGTTCGAAGATAACGAAAAATATTTGACGACAATTTTTCCGTAGCCGGGCTTTTAAAATTATTTTTCCCTTTGTTTACTTAACATTCTATCGACGCGACGATGGGTATAACAAATTAAATAATACTTTTAAAAGGGCATTTTTAAATCGCAGCCTTGTTATCTTAATTTTAGTTGGGATATTTTATCACTTTATAACGTAATGAATGGTATATAAGTATTCTATAAATAAATAAGAATTAATTTTAATATATGGCAAGCCCTTATAGCAGAAGCTTAAAATGTTATTACGCAGAAACTTAATTTTAAACTTAACTTGTACCATCGTACTAGCATGCAATTAAAAATTTGGCCAATCGATATTTATGCTTAACAATTTTATGCCTTATGAGAATTCGTCATAAGAAAATAATTTAAAATTAAAAAACACGTGTGCCCTAATCGATTACTATAAATAAAGAAATTTGTTATATCAGATTATAACTTGTTTTACAATTTTGTTCGGTATTAATAATTTTGTTGTGCTCTGATTTGTTTAGCCTTAGAAAACTTCTTTTTGTAGTTGGTTGACCTCATAGATTACAAATGTTCCACGGAACGGTGATACAAACTTACAGTAGGTAACACATTCACAGCTACACACACCGGCATACATACACTTTCACACACACATTCATGCATCTTACACACACATCTACACGCCATACTAGTCTAGAGTAGTATAGTGGGTACTATAGTGGGTCTAGAGTAGTATAGTGGCCGTGGCGCGACGAGAGGGGATGCTACCAGTCGCCCGGCTGGACGCGCCCTGTCTGGTCCTCGGAGCTGATACAGGGTGTGATGAGGTCGGTCTTCTGTGGCGCACCGACCTACGGGGGGGGGGGGTTCCACGATAAGGGCTCTGCCTGTGTGGATCCTCCCAACACGATGGGTAGGGGACCGGAGATTGCACAGTTACGCATCTCTGGTCTCTAGTCAGGGGCAGCTGGCCGGTTCGCGCACCGGCCGGCATTGCACGCTCCTGCCTCGTCGTGGGGGTGCCTCTCGAATGTCTCTGAGTCGTACACCCAACCCGCTGTGGGACCTGCCCTTTTCAGGGCGGGCCGAAATGGGGGCGAACGGCGCGGTGTATGGCCTTCGGGTCGATCCCGCGCATCGCCTTCCATGCGAGGGACATCGATGAGTTTTAGTGGGTAAACTCCAGTTTCTTGTCTAGCCCCTTCGGGGGTGGGGCCACAGGAAAAGTCCCACATCACCCGTGGAGCCCGCGCAGGGTGAAGCGGGTATGCGTAACGCATTTCTCAGCGTTAAAAAAAAAAGGTAACCCTAAACGCTTCTTTATGTGCAGTCGTTTAAAAACTATGCCAAGTCATTATTTAATAACCTAAAAAACTGATAAGGTTTTCGTGAACTTAACAAAGACACTCCCAATAAATATTTAATTTAAACAAGTAACCTATTGAAATGGATCATTTAATTATAACCAAAAGCTCATAGCAATATGGGAAAGTAGTAACTTCCATTAACACAGGCGTTTACAGTTTGTTATATATTTTATAGAATTAAAATTTTTTAGAAAGCTTTTATTAATGCCTCTCCATTAAATCGATAAATGAATTTAATCCAAGGAATAAATTCATTTATAAATTTGAACTTGGTAGTACAAGTACTTCCAAGTTAAAATTTACATAATCGATGATAACAGTTAAGAAGCTTTCTTTGACACGAATTTATCGTCTTATCTGGGCAGCCATTTTTAAAATGTGTAAAGTACCTATTCCAAAGTTTAATTGTGTAATAAAATAAAGTAGCAGAGATTCTGTACTTAGTACTTGTTTTTAGGTTCTGTAATATCCAGTCCAGTTGAATTAAATAAAAGGTACTCTAATTCCTTTCTTTTGTGGTCATCTTCTTCTCCCAATCGTTATCTCATCAACTGGGGTCAGCTCTCCTTGTCCGCTTCTGCATTATCGATGCATGTAATAATTTCTCTTTCACGTCCTTACCTTTATCTCTATAATTTCTAAACATGTTATTGTGTGTATATGTTTCCCATAATCTGTACGATTCGGTGTTGTATACAATAACTAGGTAATGTATACAATCCCTATAACGTGATACACGCGCGCACGCTCTCTCTCACACACACACACACACACATACACACACACACACACACACACACACACACACGCGCACACACACACACACACACACAGGCGCGCGCGCGTGCAATTAAGAAATCGTATAGAATACCTGAATTATACACATTGCCGATTATAACTATGTATATAAACCTTTTCCACCTTAATCATCATCAGTTTCGCTCGCTTCTGGGATACTTCGCTATGGATGGTATCGAATCGGGTCATAACTGAACATGCGAGCCCAGTGCGTATAAGTACTCGTAGATGATAACGGCAGCAGAAGCAAAATAATATTTTTTTGGTTTCTGGAAAAGTTGCTTAACCAACGCATAGACCGATTTATACGCGCTCATTGCTATTCAATACCTCAGTATATATTTTTTGCACTTATTTATATTTTCTAATTTGTACCAAAAATTTAAATTTTGGTGTTTCAACATTGTCGTTTCAGACTCGTGCAAAGCTCATGGTTTGCATGCGTTTTCACTATATAGTATATACATAGGCACTCGTATATACTTAATGAAAAATATTTCCATAGCCAATATTGCAAAAGAGAACAGACGCGTCGTGCCTAGAAGGTTTTATTGATTTTCGTTGTCGCCGGCCTCCACCAGGCGGCGCGCGCATCATGTGTCAAAATTCTGCTCAACGTCGTCGGAAAAATAAAATAAATTTAGCAATCTCGTGTGAAAAAATACTAACAGTGACATTATAACATTTACTAGTGTCGTGAAATGCCATTAATTTTTAAAAAGAGATACGTTTATCTGTGATTGAGAGTGATAATTGTTCCATATCACTATATTACTTCATAAACAAAGAAATGATTTTTGGTTACATGTTTGTTTATAAAATGTGAATTGTGTAATATCAGTACTTGTAAGTAAGCTTATTTACCTACTATTGGAAAATCATAACAATTCACCACATTACAAAGATAATAACTTTTTCTTGTCAATGAAATATAAATTTGATTTTTGTTGTTGTTTTAATAAAATTATATTGAAGTGATGAAAATCGAAATGAGTAAGTACTTAAATAATACTTGTGATAACTAACAATCTAATCTCTTATACGTACTTGATTATTTTCGAAAATATAAACATTAAATAGTGGTTTTTAGTGATAAAATGAATCATGGACAGACTTTATAAAACAATACAGAAAAAGCATGTCCCAATATAAAAAATAAAATTTTACAATGTCGTTTAAAAATGACGAGATGTCTGCGGATATTCAGTGCGTATTCATTCAGGCTGAGCAGAAAACATTCAACTTTGCTCCTTATTGCCTTCTTCATAGTGACTGTAATGGTGATACTCCAGCTCTATTCGTACAAGCACCCCGGGCACCGTCATACAAGGCTGCATTTCGGTGATTTTGACTACAGACCAGGCGCTTTCCTGAAAGGCAAGCAGCCTAATGAAAATAACACTTATTGCGAGTTTCGTTACGGTCTACCTGAGACACTGAAATGGGGAAGCTTCCATGTACAATCCACTCCTGAACTTGGTAACTCGAGTCCCTACAATGTCATCTACAATGCTGTAACAGGAACAGCCTTCGCAAATCATAGTAAATTTGACGCTGTGACCTATGCCACGCAGTCGACACCAGAATTTATGTTCCATGTTGTTGAAATCGCGAAACATTGGGATGGACCTATAAGTCTATCCGTTTTTGTTCCAGACTATGATTTAGATTTAACAATACAAATAATGAGTCAGCTATGTCACTGCTATTCTGGAATGTCAAAAGTGTCACTGCATCTGTTTTATCCAAAGAAACACCCGCCAAAGATAAGGACGTTAGAAGAAATGATGGTAACGACGACGATTGCAACAGTTCCCACAATGAACGGTACTGTAGAAGAAATGTTGAAAGCAAAAGTTGAGAAATACAGGAAATTGAATAATGAAACGAGAGCGAAATATATACAGTGGGTGCGAAAGAATAAGATAGCTAGGATGATGGTGCGTATACCTTTGAAACGGAATTCGGTACAAAATTTGAAATTCATCGATTGCTCCGGCATGGAGACGTCGAGTATAGATACGTTTAGAAAGGAGCACAATATGATTTACCCGATAAACGTCGGGAGGAACGTTGCCCGGAATGCTTCGAGAACGAACTACTTTATTGTTTCTGATATAGAAATGGTGCCGAGCGGTGGCTTAGCGCCTAAATTCCTCACAATGGTGAGGAAACTTATGGGCGATAAGAAACGCGACGAAGGCTGTATATTCGCTAAGACGGTCTTTGTAGTGCCCTTATTCGAAGTGGAGAGAGGGGAGGAAATCCCCCACGACAAAGACACGTAAGTTGTTTGATAAATGAAATGTTTGATGTTTGTAGATAAATTACTATCTCGTCAAGTTTATTGGAGAATACGCGTAATTTCCAAACTGTGAGTCACGTTTATTTATGTAGGAGTAAAATTGTGTAAGATAATTACACTTTTTGTTCGAATATATAATACTGTATTTATATTGGTATTTGTTGCTTTTAGTTATTAATGTTATCGCGCACCCTGCTCATTTAAAAAAATGCCTAAACGTAAATTCTCAGGTAAATAAACAAAGTCGAAATAATTCATAATCAAAATGAGAAAACATATTAATGTCTGAAGAACAAAGAGCGAATTTTTAACGCATATAATTTTAAATTGATTATTTATTTCATAAAACTCTTTTATTATAAAAAAATTGTTAGATTTGGGAGTAATTTTGTAGCTGAGCGATATAATTTTACAATAATTGTTTGCGAATTTATCAATTAAAATAATTTAACGCTCTGTTTAGCGCCAAAAGCCATCTTCTGTCCTTACTTGTCTCATCGCCTGATCTATTGGTTTTCTCGTTTTCTCTTTCTCTTTATTAGTAGCCTTAATACAAGCTTACCCTTAGCACAAGCGCGAAACACATTAAAAATTTATTATCAAACTTTCTTGTCTTTCATCAGAATGAGGACGGAAATGTTGATGTGTTTCTGAATAGTTGTTTTTCGCAACCTAGCCTGTGTATATTTACCCCGAGTATGATGTAGCTTTGTGGAAGAATTTTCAGGATCGGATCAGTGTTTCCAAAGTTTACCGCCTATAAAAACAATAATGTTAGAAAAAAAATATCTCTTTATAACATTAGTATAGATAATAATCAAGAGATATGAAAGTCAAGAAAAAAAATTAAAGGAAAAATAATCCCAATATTAAAAGGAAAGACAAGCAATGGATAGCCATGTCTTTTAGGCTATAGAGCTTAATTAATATTTTAATATTTTTTGCTATTAATATTGTGTATTCATTTTAGTATCTTTTATAATGGAGTATTATTTATTATCTACGTAATTTGTTGGTACATAAATTTATTGCTTTTGTAAGTACCCGTCATTTCGACTAGATGTGTGATGGGATTCATAAATGTATAGCAATAAATATGAAAATATGTAAGCATACACTGAGAGATCTCTTTTACTAAGCTCGTAAAGGGTCACAAGATTTATGATGGTGTATTAATGTGAAATGTCAATGCTGGCCTATTTTAGTAGATATATAAATGAATGCCGTTGCGAATGAATAATCTTCGTCTATAAAATAAATGATTTCAGTGGGCACCTAAACAAGTTTTGGGGTAATATTTTAAATGGTCTACTTATTACTAAAACTGAACTACTCTTACAAATCTATAAAATTTGATTCCCTTGACGTCTTTTCTTGATTCTCTTGCCACAAATTGCTTGCTTAAATTGCCATATTTTTGGAACCACTTGATACCTCGTGTGTTCATAAGTTTTCAGACGAAATAAAAGTTGCGTAATTTTTTAACTTACATTTCAAATATTTAATTAATAATTAATTAACTTACATTTCTAAAATAAAATAAAACTTATGTTTATATTTCTTACCATTAAATAAATAATAATTAACAATAAAATATACATTTTACTAAAAATGACCGCAATTGTTTTTAATACAGGCCCTTAGATGATTTGGCCAATCATCAATGGCGGCACGAATCCTTTCTAGTGGAATTTGCTTTGCTTCTCGAACAATAGTTCGCTTCAGAGACTCCAAGTTTGGGTGGGGCTTTCGGCAGGCTCTGAGCTCTAATTTAGTCCATAAAGAATAATCCAGCGGGTTGAGGTCGGGGCTGGATGAGGGCAACTCGTCTGCCGCGATGAAGGCCAGCACATTCTCTCTCAACCAACCTAGGGTGTTTTTTGCCATATGGGATAGCGCCAAGTCATGTTGAAAAACCCAATCCTTATTGTGAAATGACGTGTCAGACAGGGGTTTTACCGCGAGCTCTAAAATGTCATTCTAATAATTCTTTATTTTCACTTTGACATCTTGTTGGCAGAAAGGGAGCCGAGTGACACCTTCATACGATACTTTCCACCATACCATCACACTAGCCAGATTATCAATGCGCGAGACATTCTGTGCAGAAGCTGGGACATCCTTGCTACTTTTAGCTACACTTTATTGTTTTGACTGTTAAAAATTTCTCGTTGGTGAAGAGTATCTTCTGGCATCATGTCTCCTCAGCAGCAATGGACAACGTTCGCGTCGTAACTTACGAAGACGATATTTAAAAAAGTGAACATTTCTACGGATTTACCCCTTTTTTTAACCTTTACCTTAAGATCATATTTCAGTATTTTGTTCACTGAAACGCGCAAATATTTGTCTGCAGGGCAAGTTTTTTCTGAGTGCGACGAACGTACGAACGATATGAGGATTTCGGCGAAGTAGCTCTCGGATGATTTAGATGTTCGCAGGCGTCCTCACGGAGCGTGGCAGAACTCTTCTTTGGCGATCTTGCAGAGAACATGTCTCTTTGTACCGCTGTATTGTGTAATACATGAAGTTATTGAATTTGTGATACAAATAAACTAAAAGTTAACATTCCAAATTAAAAAGCGGTAAAAGAAATAAATAACACCCAGTAACATTTTATTTTATTTTTTCAGTAAAAAGTTTGTCTCAGAACTTACGAACACACGGGGTATATGTATATGTATTTATTATAAATGCCTCCAAAGGAATCAATCTATTACGCCCTACCTCAAGATTCACCTTTAATTTACGCTTATAGTACAATACTTATTTATAACTACCCACGCTATTCGTACTCGTATGTGAATGAAATGGAAATTAAATGTATATACATATATATTTATTTTGTGAGTAATAGTGAGGATGTTTTAGTAATTACCAATTTTGCGATAAATGATAAGTAGATGTCTTTTTATAATAGTATAATAGGACATTATTATCAATAAACGAAGTAGAATTATGATCCGTTTATACTCATTTAGCGTATGTATGTACGTTAGCAGACATTGAACATATCAGACAGGTGTCGCACAGATCCAAATATGACACGAGTCGTGCTCGGCAAATATTCACGGAATGATTTTAAGGAAACGGTGTCTGTCTCGATATGTGTCCAAAAACTTTTAAAATTTATAATTCTATGTTAAGGGATATTTTAAGAAAAGTAACAGATAGAAAAATATATTTTGCAAACTCATATAATAAACAATATACAATTTCTTATACGAGACATGTTAAAAACGTCAAATTAATTTAAATCGTGAGTAACCTTAATATGTTTTTTAATTACCTATCTCGGGGAATTCATTCAATCTCATTATAAATAAAAAACTGATTAAATTACCATAATGTACCTATTACTTTAATTCACAAACTTATATTAAACCACATTGAGCAATAAACTAAAATAGTTGTTATTGATTATATAATACGACCTTTAAAATTTTCCACCAATAAAACTTCCCACCCTTACCACTATGACCTTAAAACATCAAAGACATACTATCGATTAACCATCGTTCAAGAAATCGATTAATGGAAGTAAATTACTGTTGGTTGAGTATTCACGTCGCCGCTTAGTTTCTCCACTGGTTTGTCATTCAGGTTTTTATTTTATCATCATCAGCCTCTGAATTTCAACACTGTTAGCGCACTGGCCTTCCATCAAATAGAGATGAATGGAATCAAATCAAATAGAGAGAATGGGCCATGAGTCACCATGCTGTCCCAGTGCGAATTCACATGCCTTGTCGAGGAGCTCGAGATTAAAAATGCCAACCTCACCTCGGAACAGGTTCAAACTCTAGGTTGGAGAGCCCTGATTTGAGGTCCATGATGTATTTTCACTACTTCAAGAAATAAAGGTGGCAGTGATAGTACGCAACGATAATTTGCACACTGTAGTACAATATAATATCAAAGAGCTGTTCAATACAATTAGTCGTACATATGGCGTAGAAGTGTACGATATCCCTTATATTGTTCAAGTTTGCTTTTCCTTATATCTTTGCGTAACTTTCAATGGAATCGGCCGAATGATGACCGCTAAGGGTACACGTAATGTCATAATAATGTTACAAGTTTTGTCGATCAAAGTTCCCTCGAACAATTTTCCTTTCTTATTTCTTTAATAAACTTTCTAAACAAAGTAAATATCGCCATTTTTATATCAAATACATTTCTATTTTTGGTTTTTATTTTCAATTCTATCTTTACGCCCGGTCTTAATTCTACTATTCATTCATGGATAAACTCCTTCTAAACCAATATTCTGAAATATAAAAATCTGTTATTAATTTTCATAAGCGTTGGTTGTGGCAAATGACCCGTATATATTGAGAGTCAAAGATCAAATTCGATAGGATACATTCTGTATGTGTAGAAATGTATGTGCTTTTAACAAACATCACGTGAATATTTAAGTTGTTAGAGTTATACTATGTAGCCAATCTTCATGACTTTCTTTCTTCTCCCTTTTCAAACTGGCCCTCTAGGTGTAGGCCTCCTTTCATTAACAACATTCGCCAAGATTTTTGCCATCAAACAACCACTTTTCCCAATCGTCCTTTTGATATCAAAATATCCTTTACCCAACACATTGGAGGCCTTCCCGAAGGACGGTCGCATCCACTCGCTCCGTGATAATCAATGAAAAATTTTTAAGCTTGTATTGAAAATTGATATTCTTGTTCTAACTTCTGTTTTGGATCTCAATTAATGATGTAACTTTATATTTCACGGATGAAAATACTTTTGCAACAATCGCTTGGATGTTCAAGATAGAAGTTACTCATTCATTTCAAGTGTGGTTACGATACCTATCCATAAATAATATCAATAAAATCGAGTTAAGAATTACCAGCACAGAAACGTTAGTTTATTAGCTGAATAATTGTCCATAATAGAATCCTGAACTGTACAAGACTGCGGACTGTTTCTTAACTGGTGGTCTGCGGATGGTGGTCACTGTTTAGTGCGAATAGAATTCGTATCGAATTCTCCCTTTGAGGGTTAGGTGGTACAGTATCTCAACACGATAACTATGGACACAAAAGTTTTAAATGTGTACGTTACGAAATCTACTCGCCGTTATCATCAATATAAACTGTATTTTCACTATATTAATGTGCCCATTATACGAGATTAAATACCAATGTATTAGACAACATTATACTCATTGTTCAGATTCCAAGATTAGTAACTGAAAATCTTTGTTTATAAAGAATCTGCTATTACAACGCCTTAAAAAAGAAAATTTCTACATTGTCCCGGTGACTAAAGTCATTACCAATATTGAAAGTATCCACATCACTACTCAATTCTGCATACTACAGGCTCCGTCATTGGGTATTACTAATTCTACCCCTTTATTCTACGTATTCATGAATTTTAATAAGCCCATCGGCAGCGTTTTCCTTTATGAATTGTGAAATAGTACACACAGCAGCCCATCGTATTACTAAAAAAAAGCTAAACTTATGTAATTAATTTGGAACTTTATGGAAGTACAAAGCTAACTACATATAGTATCCGGCTCAAGTCTCCATCTAAAAAATACTCGAGAGCACAAAAACATATTATATTTTATGCATGTTGTCAATGGGTCATACACAAAAAAAGCAAAAAAAATGTCCAGAGTGCACAAATCAAATTTCAATGAACATTTAATTTTTTTTATTACTTCAAGTAAAATTCGTTGTAGAAAACTTATTTATTTTGAAAGCAGTCTGTTTAAAGTGGCATTATATATTTATTCATAATCAAATAAGACAGAAATTATCTCATTCTGTAGACTGTTCGGACACTGAATGTTTAAGTTTCGAAGACATTTAAAAATACATGGAAATGCTTTTGGGGTCTTTATCTTATTATAAGTTAATTGTCATATAAATTTATATGCATTCCAATATAAGACTAAAAATTACCATCGTTTATTTAAGAATAATAACGTTTACACATGTCGTTCACACATTACATATCATCTCCTGTAGACGCATAAAAGAGCTACAAATTTAACACAGTTGAACGCATCTTAAATATTAAGATTTCTTGGTTGGCAACATTGTATTCTCTGTCACTTGTTCTGACGTAAAATTAATAACAAATGCGTGAGTAGATTAAATCTGTCTTTTTATTCAATTACACAAGTTTTTTGACAAGATCAGTGTTTCTTTCCTGTTAAAAGTGCATATATGTAAGTACTGATTAAAAATATTTATAAATGTAAGGGCTTCGTAGGTGTATGGTACTGCTATTCAAATATCATTTACTCTAACTCCTAACCTCAAAATTTAACGAGCTATGTTTAATTTATGATGGATATATCTTTCATGTAGACATCTTGTCTGTAGACATCGCGTCTACAGTAGATATCTTAGTCTACAGAGGTGATATTTAAAACATTGTTTTGTGTCTACAGGAAAGAATATGTCCACAGAATTAAAAAAACAAATGCTATTTGAAGTTTAACTTCGTAAAATCTGTTCTTAAATTATTGTTTTCTGTTTTTTATTACTTAACTGAATTGCTTTTTTAAAGTTATTATTATTACTATCACTATATTTATCTTTATTAGTACCACTTACAGAATTAAAGGCGTGTATACCATACATTTGTAAGGTTACTTTTGATAACTTATTTTATACTTACGTTACTTATACATATTTATTCAACTTTCACCACTGATATTTTTAAATTTTCATTTGCTTTGTTAAGTGCATGATGCATTTTAATTTGTTTAGGTGCGATGCCAAGACAAAGTCGTTCAAAAAGTAATCTTTCTGAAGAGGAAAAAAAGATACGTAGAAGAGAACAGAAAAAACTCAGCATACGCCGTGCTCGAGCAAAAATGAGCGAAGCTGCACTCGAGGAAAGAAGAAAAAAGGACAGGGAAAGATATAGGAAGAAAAAAGAGCAAGGTCAAATCAAGACCATTAAAGATTACACACCTAGGCAACAAAGGTAAATTAGAAAGCTGTGGAGAGAGAAAGCAAAAAAAAATGGTGAAAAAAAAAAGAAAAAAGAGAGACACTTAATTTTTTACAAGATAATACTCCACCGTCTAGTCCTTCTATTTTACGTGAAAATGTAAGGCGTTCTGTAGCAATTCGTAACAGACGACGAATTATTGCTGAAAACTCGTATTCAAAAAGAAAGATTCTGGAATTGGAGTCAAAAGTGGCTAAATACCGAATGCGTTATAACAGAGCAAAAAAAGTAAGAAAGGACAAACAAGTGTCGACAGTGACAAAAAAATCAACAAAAAATCAAGACATAAGTAAGGCAATTCGTGATTTTCTTCTTCAGGATAAGAATAGTCGATTAACATCCGGGAAAAAAGACACTATCACAAGGCAGAAAATAAAAAAGCAAATTCGATATCTGAATGATTCCCTATTAAATTTACATAAAAAATTTGTAAATTATACTGGCATATGTATTTCATACGAAACATTTCGTCGACACCGACCATTTTGGGTTTTATTCCCAAAAATTGATTCTAGAAACACTTGCCTTTGTGCCATTCATACCAATAATAACTTTATGGTTCGTGCGCTGTACAATGCAAAAGCAATTGCTTATATTTCTGCCACAGAGTTGGTAAAATCATTATGCTGTGATACTGGCTTAACATTATATTGTTTAGAAAGGGATTGTGCTGAATGCAAAGAAAAAACTATTCAGCACAATGATTTTAATGATAATGACACTATAACGTACGAGAGATGGATAACCAAAACTGTTACTGTTGTTGTAAAAGGGCAAGAAAAAAAATGCAAAAAAACTGTCAAAGAAAAAGTGGTGACAACTAAAAAGAAGCTTTTGGGAATATTACAATCTAATTTACCAACTCTTATGAAACATATTGCATACGTGATGCATCAATCTAATGCCATTCTGACTATCAAACAACGACTAAGACCTGGACATGGACTTCTTCATATTGATTTTCCCGAAAATTATAATTGTAAATATGGTCAGGAAATACAGTCGGCACATTTCGGAGGTTCGAAAATACAGTTGTCCTTACACACTTCGGTTTATTATTATACTCAATCAGAACCTTCAAATAATTATACAAAAAATAATTCCTTTTGTACAGTCTCGGAAAATATTAATCATGATCCTGTTTTAATATGTGTGCATTTACATGCTTTAATAAATAGAATTCTAGAATTATCACCAAATCTGAAAACTCTCCACATTTTGAGTGACGGGCCGTCTACTCAATATCGCAATAAATCAATGTTCCACTTGATAGCAACATATTTAAGCAAGGAGTTTGGTGTGAATTCCATCATTTGGCATTACAGTGAGAGAGGACATGGAAAAGGTGCACCGGATGGAGTAGGCGGTTGCATTAAACGGATCTGTGACAGTTGTGTGGCAACAGGTCAAGATGTTGCTAGTTTGGATAACTTGATGTTATGTCTGGATAAACGTTGTAAAGGTATTGAAGTCTTTAGGATAAACGAACTCTTAATCCCGGAAATTAAAAAAAATAGACAATGCTGCTACGAAACCTTTCAAGGGTACTTTGGGTATTCACCAGTTATCATGGAGTATCGATGAACCGGACACTATCCATGTAAGGCGCCTAAGTTGCTTAGAGTGCAAGGCCCATGAAGTTTGTCGTCATTATGAAATTGGCTTAATTAAAATAAAGTACAAAGATCCGATAGTGACTGACTTATCCAGAGCTACCACACCTAATTCTATCGAAGTTCCAGGAACTCCAGATGCTCCAACTGAACCAAATTCACCGGCTTTGACAGACCGAATGACGCCTGATAACCTAATAATGCAGCCTATTCTTAGGCCAAAAAAAAGGAAGTTTTGGATCTCCTCAGATACTGATACCGATGACGACGCACCTATAGCCAAGAAAACATATATAGATATGCTTACGTCTGACGATGAAAATATTTTCTAACTTATTCTTATATTATGACCATAGGAAGGGATATCTTTTCTGTGGACGCCATTTGATTAATTTTTGTTTTTAATTAATAAAACTATTTTCCTATCGCTTATTAAGGAGTACAATTAGACCGATTTAGGAGATTTTTTATTGTGTTTTAAAAATTTTATTGTATTGTTTAGTTTAACTAAAACATTTTTTTTTTATTTTCTGTAGACATCTCAATCTTTTCTGTGGACGCAAAAAAAAACAAAATTGATTTTTTTTTCTTAAATATTATAAATTGATCTCAATTAACGTTTTTGTTAGATTAAAAATAAGTTACTTTAATTGAATTAAAATAAATTTTATGATCCAAGAACTTTTACTTTAATTTTCTCAAAAATCCCATTCTTGTGTTTGACCCCAATATCATTCTCTAAACTTTTACATCATTGGAGCTATAAAAAAACAAGATTAATTCAACACTTGATAAACTCACGACGAAGACTCGATAAGCCACGTTCTGTTATATAAAGGAACACATGAAAATTTAAAATACTTTTGTGTAAATTACTTGTTTAATATAATGTAGTTTTCCCATTTTAAATACAGCTTAATTGGATTTTATTTATTTGTTCAAAATCAATTGAAAGTCCGTGATAATTGCTTTAGACGCCCTCCTCAAAGTGTACCCCCCTCCTCTAGTTCTAACGACATAACCATCAAAACTTTATTAATTTACATGGACATTGACGTATGACCTCAGGCGTTATCTAATCTATTATCATCCCTGGACAATTACTCAAGTTTCTATTATCTTGACAGTTACTAAATACACTACTAAAATATAGCAGCAATTAAGTATGTAGCTAGTTGTTATTAAGAATTATAAAACTCGTGATATTATTAAAGTTAAACTCTTATTCAACTTCGTCGATCGTACTGACGTAGGCAATTATATCACGCGCATAATTATATCACAATAACTGATAACTCTGTTGATTAACCACGTTCCAGTATGTGGAGGTTCACATATTTTGTTTGATTAAAATAGATAGGCTTTTAGCTCTAATATAATCAAATATCGTCATCATCATCACGACTGAACAAATGGTCGGCGTCCTGATCGAAGCGCCCAATATATTGGTACAGAGGCTTGAGCTCAATAGCGCATTGGTTAAAGCGTTCTGCCTGTGTCACGGAAGTTAAGCATATTCGCAAGGGCTGGTCATAGGATGAGTAACTAAAAAAATATTTTCTGGAGTTCTTCCGTGCTGTGGAATACACTTTAAACCATTGATCTCAGCTGTATTTGCAATCTTTAACCCCCAAAAATCCATCGATGACGCTAAACTAACGTTGTCTTTCATTTAAGCTTGTAAAGGGATCTAAATATCTAAGCAACCTTTATTTTATTTTATCCACTAACAACAAGATTTGAATCGAACAACACTATTCGATTATAATCGACTTGAATCAAGTAAATCGATCCAAAAAGGGTTGTCAGTTAGCAGATTTCAAAGATATGATGCCAAGATAATTTGATCGTTGCGAACTTATGGAGATAATTATGCAACTTGCGTTGCTTAGATATAATTGAACTTCTGAGCTTTTTGATCACCTTAGGTGTTTCGATAATTATAACGCTGACTGTACCTTTCGTTCACATGCAATGTTGCAATGAAGAAAACTTCATTTTTTCCAAAGGCTTAGATTGATCTGCTATTTAAAAAGATTAAATAGCAGATTATTCTAAGTTAATAAAATAATGTTTTCAGGTCAGTTGATAAAATAATGGTTTCAGGTTAGTGAAGATGGTCACGTCGTACCGAGCGAACTATTTCCATCAAAAAGTATGTTCACACTGTCAACGATTCCCTGGTCTTCAAAGCTGGTTGGCAAGGCCCTCGCCTGCTGGTGTGGAGGTTTGTATTACGTTCATTTATGATAGCTAAATTTTCAAACGTTAATAGCATTTCGAGATTGTAGATATAAATACTTGTGTGTTGATTATTTATTAATTTAGTTGTCAATTGAAATGGAAAGCTGCCAATTCTAACGTTACGTTTGAGGACAAATGATAGGTAGTAGTTTCCCTTATCCATAGTCAATAATCATTTAAGAATAGTGCATCATTTATGATTAGGCAATATTTTTGTCACCGAACGTTGAAACTACGTTACGTAGGAAAACGTGCTAATAAATCACGAGTAAAATATAACAGGATCAACCTTCCCCTAACAGAGGCACTTAATACACTTAGCTCGGTGGCAAGAGACGGTAATTGCCCGCTAATTATTTCCAGCAGTCGGTAAATGTTCCCTGACATTTTACAGTACTGACTGACTATTTAATGTCTTTAAAAATGTGGCCCAATTCGAGCGTTATATTTCCAATGTAGAAAAAATATATTATAAATGGCGCCATAATGGCGCAATGGCGTACTAATTACAAGCAATACATTTTTAATGGCAATTAATTGTGTAAGAATGATTTTAATAAATGAATACATGCATATTTTAGATACAAGAGCAATTAAATATTGATTAAATAGATATTTTATAAATAAAGATTACAATACGTCAATTTGAAAAAGCATACCAAAAGCATAGCTAAACACCACAATCATATTTTTATTTAGATTCATTTCGTTTTGTGCTACTGCTTGTGAGTAAGTAAATACCATATCTATCTATCAAAAGCACAAGTCTAGGTAACAAATTGGCTTCCTAAAGTCTATCACTGTCTAATGCAAGATCTTGGCAAAAGTAGACCGATAAATTGCTCAAGTTATGAAGGTGCCATATTGTCATATGGATTCGTGTATAGGTACTAACCTACATAACTGTGCCTCAGCAAAGTCAACACAAACTATTCTGTGACATGCAGAGTTGACTACGGATATTGTCAAGGGTTTAATTTAGTTTTATCAATATGCGCATGTTTTGGATCTTTAAAAAGTACTTTGAATAGCGTAACAAACTTTTCCGGTACCGTTTACATACTAAATGAAATATTTCAGTTTAATACGAATATTGAATAGATAAATGTTTCTTCTTCTAATAGTAATATCGGTGTTGACCTAAATTTATGGCTTTGTCTAAAACTTGAGGCTCTGTTTGATTGTATCTTCAAAACTTGAAAAGTAATCGATAAAGACTCAATGTTTTAAACGACGTCTCGTATGTCCATTCATGACTTTATATAATTGTCCCCACAGAATTTAGTATTACTATGCCAATAATTAATAAGTAAAGTAGGTATGAATTTATGAATGCAATACAGGAAAGTGTTTTTCCAGCCGATGCTGATTGCAAGACGCGAGTACCCGTATCACAGATGGGAGCCGCTATATTTCGGTACACACAAGGATCCTTGGTACAGTGAAATACTCTCTTGGGAGGGCAGACAAGATAAGATGACACAAGTAATTGTATTTAAAATTAAAATGTAATCGTATAGATATGTCCTTAGAGAAATGAGCCATGTAAGAACTCGCATGTATAGAATTATGTACGGTCGGCCAAGAAAGTGGTCTACCAGTTTTGATAAGATTTCCCGTGTCTTTAAGGCATCGCTAAAGGCGAATCTTAGAATTGCATACAAATAATAAAAGAGATGCACAATGCTGACGTGTTGTCGTAGAGCACAAATGTTATTTTGACCTTTACAGCCTATGCATTAGATAATAATTTGCAACAACAAATAGTCTTCACAATATTTCATAAATTTAAAATTTAAGTAGGTCACTTCAAAGTGGAAACTATTTTGTTACGAAAACTCTTTTACTGAAAAAGAATATATCACTTGACAATTCATGTCAAATATTTTCTCGGCATTTTCCGTAGGTATTTTCCTAATTAATTTACACTACAATGCCCCGAAATTTATCCATTAACGAAAGAGCACAAATAATCGCATTACACAATGATGGTTTGAATATTAGTGAGATTTCTAGAGAATTAAATATGTCGGTAAGTATTATTATGTCTGACGTGAGTTTAATGTAAAATCTCAGACCAAGTCCGAGTGTAAAATTTATTTTTTTATTTTTTCTGTTCATATTTTATTTTTGATTATAGAGACAAGCTGTCCGTCTTTGGATAAGACGAGAAAGCGAAGAGGGGAATTTGAACGTTCGGAGTTGTAGCGGTCGTAGACCTGAAATATCAGATACTCAGCGAGTCTTCATGAGACGGAGTTATGAGGAATCTGGCTTTATACCAACGCGTTATTTTGCCGACATATTTGACGTGACTCTCCAAACCATTAGAAACCATTTACATTACATGGGCTTACATCACAGGCGTTATGCAAAGAAAATTTATATGACTGACGCTCATAGAATGGCCAGATTAAATTTCGCCATAGAATATTTGGATTTTGATTGGAGTAACACTGTTTTCTGTGACGAGAAAACTTTTAAATCCAGTTAACACGGGCGTCTACACCTTTGGCGATTCAATAAAACGCGATACACGCAAAATCATGTCGTGCCAAATAGAGAATCGGGTCGTATCTCGGTAAATTTGTATGGATGGATGACTGCTGATGGTGTTGGAGACTTGACCTTTTTGCCACCACGAGCAACGGCATCAGATTATGTTGATGTTCTCCAAAATGCTATGTTGCCATCCGTCCGGAACGTTTATCCAGAAAATGAAATGCGTCAATTTAATTATTTACAGGATAACTGTCCCTTACATAAAGCAAGGGTAACACGTGCTTGGTTTGATGCACATCCGGAAATAAACTTGATACCATGGCCTGCAAAATGGCCAGATCTCAACCCTATTGAAAATATGTGGGGTCTTATGGTTCAGAGATGGTGTAACCGTAATGAACGAACAGCAGAAGCACTACAAGGGCACTGCAATGAGGTTTGGGAGGAAACACGTGGGTCTGATATCTGCTCAAGACTGGTGGGCTCGATGAGGGAACGTCTCCAAGCTGTTATAGAGGCAGATGGCGGCTACACAAGATTTTAAGAATTATAATTTTATAAAAGAATTGTATATATTTTTTAACAA